ATTTTATTACTTTTTCAACAGCTGGCATTCTTATCCGGTTCCTAATATAAGTAGAACCAAAATAACCCCCTGTCTTTTGTAATTTTCATTGGACATCCCAAATCAAAGTAAAAATCGCTAAGACAAACATTATTCTATTATTTTCTACCGACTGGCTTTCCAGTTCATTTCTGCCTAATGATGACCCCAAACCAGACTTAACTATACCCTAGATCTATAGTTCGGCCCAAATCAACCAAATATTTGTATTCATTGGAATTTGGTTGTATGAAATTATCGACTTACGATCTCTAAACATTTAGGGAGATTTAATCAAGTGTGAATAGGGCTCGGTTTCATCATGGGTCCAGGGCATATTCCACGAGTGGACCCCATAATAATTGCCCATGGCGGGATGTTCACAGAAACTCCCCAATACATTGACCACCAACTAGACAGTTGAAACGTACAAAACATCAAAGACTAGTTCGAATCAATTAGGACCTGCATTTCTTTGATTTGACGCATCTTTAGAAATGACAATAGAAAACGAATGTGTATTATGTTTAATAGGGTTGCCCTTTTGCAATACAGGGGCAGTGGGGATAATATAGGTCCCACGAGAGGTCAAAACCAATATGAGAATCGGGGAAATATCTCTTTAACAGGCTCCGGTCGCTATCTCCGCGAAGATTGATATGTTTTAGGTATTCTAATGTTTGACAGGATACTAAGAATCTTATTCTAAAACTGCTAAATATGCACACCCTTTCTGGAGTATACCCCCAAATTGACCACTTGATGTGCCTTAATTAGTTCTAATTTCATCAAATATTGGAATTCCATTTTGATTTATCAAAAGCTTCTCTTTTTCCAAATAATTAAAAAGCTTGAAATTATTCTAATTTGGTTCTTATACACAGTGTGGAGTATTTGACTTTGAAGTTTGCAACTCTATTTGATAATACTGAAAATTCCTCAGATATAAAAGGTTTGAAATTCCAGAAAATTACCATAGTGTTCCCTCTCATGGACCAAAATAAGAAAAAGTTTGTGGTAAATGTAAGAAAAACAAACCTTGAGGTTTGAATTCGAATCAAAAGTTGAACAAATCATTTTCTTTTCAATAATGGCGAAGGATCATTTTCTCTAGTCTTGTGATTTTGATGTTAAAGTTGAACTGCTTTTGGTTGAAATTAATCTATTTAGTGATCTGAAAAAAATTGTTTGACAAAAGTTATCTTCTGAAATCATGCGAAAATTCTCAGAATGGTGAAAAACTGCATGATTTTGAAAGAATTTCTGGGCAGCTTCCACTCCCTTAGCTTTAACACCGGACACACCGATGTGGGACAGAGCATCGGCCGGAGCTCGGTCGGAGCTCGGCCGCTGTCCGTTAAAAAACCTCGTCCTCTGGTTGTCTCAGATGCACGGGACACCGGCCGATACTCGGCCGTGCACCGGCCGACGTGTTTTCCGATGTGGTTACGATGGGGCTGCGATGACATGATGAGGGAGCTCGGTGAGAGCCCGGTGAAATTTAACTTTGAAGTTAAAATTTCACCGAGCTACCACCGATGCGGTTTTAAGCAACAAACGCCACGGTTGTCCGGCCGGTGTCCGGCCGGTGTTCGGCCGAGTTCGGTGAAAATTGCATCGCTGGCTCATCGTAACCTCATCGGCCGGGCTATGTGACTAGGCCATAAGAATTACATAACATCTGATTTTGAGGGCGCGGCTATTGACAACGCTGAGAAAAAAGACATCTTTGCTGAAAGACATCCCCATCAATAAAATCCCAGGGTCATGATTTAAAACCAAAAAATGGAGTAAAAGAGAAAGGAGATAGCAATGACTGAAATACATGAGCATAAAGCATGCCTCCTAAATTGTACAGAAATGCAAGAAAAGCAGACACTTCAGTCAATTTTTTGAGAGAAATCGCAAGAAATCAGAAAGAAGCAGACGAACGGGAGGGTGAAAATCAATTGAGATAAGAAGACTTGAGGACAATTAGTCTTGAGAATTAAACAGTTGTCCCTGATTAAGAGTCTATTATGTCTCATTATAAGACTAGTTATCCTGATTTATAATGCATAATTGTTTTAAAGATCAAACACAATTGATTTTTGACAATGTGTTTTTTTATATCAGACTACCATATTAAAATTGTAATAAAAGCGCCTATCAACTGGCCCATGTGACAACTGATGGGCCGACATCTGGTTGCCATGATAACATAATATGACAAAATACAATTTTTAACACCATATGGAATCATATATTGCGGTATAAAAGATAATTGCTTTATTATGATACTTTTAACACAAGCTTAAACCTGTACCACCCCTCCCCTTCTCATTTTATCTCTAACATACACTCCCCTCCATAAGTATGGCAATTGAAACTTAACTTTGGACAGTTTTATCCCAGCCTGTCGATGTTTAGATTTTAATTAATTTGTTCCTTAATATAATTACAATGATTTGGAAATCTATGACTGATTGATTTTTAAACCCTAAACATAAAAAGACTTGCTAATACCCAGGAATACAGAGCTAGTATTAAATACGCTGTAGATGTCTATGAGACACAAAATCACACTGTTGCAGGGAAGCTTTAAAAGTAATCCAGAGGGGGGGGGTTCAAGTTGCTAAACTTATGGAGGGAAGTGTAGGTATGAGAGATGAAATGGGGTGGGGGTGGGGGTGGAAGCTAACCGCTGAGAGTAGCAAATATCATCTGAAATGTTATTTTCCTTCAAGTCACACGTATATTACATGTCATAATATACTGATTCACTTTTTCCACTCTATTTTGCCTTCTACAGCGTGGAATTATTGTGGTTTCCTAATATAAAGGAAGGCCTGGGCTCTCTCAAATTGATTTGTGATTAAAAAATCGGCGAATTGTAATCATTGATTTATTTGTTTATATCACCTATAAATTCATGGTTAGTGTCAAGTAATTGTATTTGTTTCATTACCCTCTCCAATAGTTTCTTCTTGATTCTGTACTAGACTCTAACACCAACCCCGGTTACCGTTTCATTAAATGTGCACCTGATTTGGGTATGCTGAGCATGTGTTTGATGCTGTTTGTCAGTTTTTTTTTCAAAATTAGGTATTGAATTTTGTTTGTCCCATCGACCATCTGAGACCGAATGCGTATATTGATTGCTGGGCATTATACATTGTTTTAGACAATGGTGATCATAGACCATGATTATGGGATATTGGGGTATGTTTTCTTTCACTAGTATTTACTCTTATATGAGTATGGTTCATTTTCATATATTATTTTGGCACTAGTGCTTACTTTCTGGATACCTTTAAAGGTGCAACAATTAGTGCAGGGGGCCATTCAACGATCATCGACCAGTGTCAAAATATATTTAAGTTTGGATATTTCTTCACGACTAACATATATTTTTATTATCTACAAAGAAACCCCTGGATGAACATTAAGCTATTTCAGTTGATATCCCTCTTGAAACGTGGTGAATCTTAAAAATCTATAAGTGGGACTCCCTTTATAGAAGCTTTGAACTGAATTTACACGAAATTGAGAGTTTATCCATACATTTTAAGAAAATAGGTATGTCAAAGAAGATGTAAAGCCAAATATTGATCATGACCTGATAGCTCAGAAAAAAGAAAAAAAATTCGAATTTTCTCTCCATTAACATTTTCGAAATATGAAATAAAATTGAGGACTGTGATTTTACCCTGCCTCTGTCGAGGGAGTCTTGGTTGCGACGTGAGTTGGTAGCTGAAGGGGGTCATCTTTTCAGCGTTGATTTTTCATCGATTGTCTAATCCATGATGTTATCACGATTTTAGAGAGAGACCATTCATTATTACTATTAAAACCATGATTGTTTTGTGCCTGTATGTTTTTTTTCTCCAGATAATCATATCAATCATATCAATCCAACATTTTTCACCCATCTCCGAATAAGATTGATGTCATCTTTCGAAAGAATCTGAAATCTTTTTTTGGTCATTTCGATATCATTGGATTATTTTCGGATTCTTTGATTTCTGGATTACTAACCTGACATGCATTTAAAACAACGACAATGACGTCATTCTGATCGTCTTGCCATGATTTGTCATGATGTCATGACATGGGCTAATCTTGATATTAACTCCAAGCGTGTTAATTAATCAAAATTTAATAAATGCTTAAACAAATCGGAGCTTTACTGCGAAACGGGCCATAAAGCATTTCAAAGTGATCCTTAATTGGCTTGGGATAATATTTCAATTTTAGAAATGAATTAAACCAAAATCCTGATACTCGATACTTGGAGATTAGTCAACAATGGCTGACTAAAAAGAACATTGGACATGACACGTGTCATTTTTTCAGGGGAAGCGTAATATTAAACAGAAACTAGTTTTAATTATTCAAACAATAAAATATGTTTTATATCCACGCCATTATGGTGACACTTTGAGAATATATCGAACGAATGACACTTTCCTTTATGACAAAATGTGTTTTTTATTTCATATCATAAATTGGTTTTGGATTTAAAACAAAACACTCAGGTTGTATCTGGTTTGTCATTCATTAGAAAAAATAACAATTTTGTTTAACTTGGGGTTTGTTAAAGAAATGTACACGCTTTGGAATTGTGACTCACATTTGGACATTGACAGTGAAAAAGTGCCGCTACTCGTAATTTCTATGGAATGGTATTAGTATAGCCTACGAGTGCGCCTCGGGGTGAAACTGAAAGACGCTTCTGTATCCTCCTCAGGAAATTTGAAGTCGCAGCCATTAAAAATGTACCCTCCCCCAAAGGAACACCTAAAGGGTAGAATAACAAGGTGTCGAAGAGGACTTCTCAGAGACGAAAAATGAATCTACGGTTTGTAAATTGTATCTGTATCTTTTTAATCTTTATCTTTTAAAGGTTTCGATTCCAGACGCTGTACAATATCAAAGTCAAAGATGTGGCGACAATCTGGATTGCCTTCGACTTCTTTCCAATTCTAACGTTTAGTTGGAATATCTAAAATCTAAAGATGCACATCTTCCTCCGACTTCAAATGTGTTACCTGGTACAACCTGTAGAACTGTCAATCATCAAAGCCATATGGCATTCGGAGCTCCGCCTACTTTAATCTGATTGGCTTACACGGAAAACTCACACTTGTACCACATGGCACTGGGTATATAAACAAAACAGCATAGGAAAATTACACAGTACACTTTTATAGTTCAGCTGCATCACGTCGGATCGTAACTTCTACAGAAATTGGATTGTACACAACATCAGAACTGTTTGACACATTATAGTGACGCAGTATTTATTTACAACACTGCCAACTGGATACTAACTCAAATCACAAAACTTCAGAAGGATTATACTCCAATAAAAATAAATAAAGGTAAATTAGTTTTGTATTTCAAACATGGGAGAGTACATCATACATCTGTACACGGTGTACTCAAATTGTATTGCTGTATGTACATATGTTGTTTGCTAAAACAAGTAATCAACATTTACAGATAAGTGTCACAAGCTGATATTACAGACAGTCTGTGTGGAAAAGTTGGCATTTAGAAATTGAATAAACAAACAACAGCATTGAATGTTATGATTTTTACAGTGACAGGTACACAATAAAATGTACATATGGGTTATAAATTTGAACAGAGTTCTTGATTTTCTTGCATTTCTATACAAAATAGAGCATTCACTATATGTTCGTCGATTTATTTTATTACTTGCTAATTCCACTCTTTTCCACTCTATTTCTCATTTCAAAACATATAACCAACCATGACATTTTCAAGTTCTCTCATGTAATATTTCCATGGCTGTGTATTTCAGATGATCAAGATCACAGAGCGAAAGCAAACAACAGGCTTGGAATTGTACCCCGGACAAAAAGTCTCCAGAAAATATCGTCAGCAATATTTGCGTAAACTTCGCCGTAAGGAATATGGAAAATTACAAGCCAGCGTCCCTGCAGTTGCGTTAATGGAGAAAGTCAGTAAAGTGAGTAATAAGTAATGTATTTTGGGGGTGGGGAAGAGGGGGGATGGGGGAGAGGGGTATATCGGCACAACTTGAAGATGAATGATTTGAAGAGAATTTGGTAGAGCCATACTAAAAGGCATCAACATAAAAAAATCAGAAAACATACAAAGAAGATAAATCCAATGTACATAGCACATATAAATCAAGTGAAATCCAGGGTATTGAAAGATATATCTATTTGACACTAAACAGACTTCACACAACAACACCTTAGATAAAACACTTTCCATTCATGAAGCCCAATAAGATAAAGAAGTAGCACCTAGCCCTATCGTGCTAAAAGTTACATTTCCAATGGTTCGATTTTACTTCTTAAAAGATAACTTCATTGACAAGACATTCAAGGTTATGTGAGATCTACTGATTTCATCTTTTACTCATTGTACATATGTCATTTGGAGATAGTCCTTTCCAATGGTAGGATTAAGCCACTTAAAAGAGACCTTCATCTACATGAACTGACAAAATAACAATTTTTCACATTAGACTACATACAAACATGAATTGTAACATGTTGTCTTTGAAATGATTCAAGGGGAAAACAATCAACAGATGATACCTTCAATCCAACCCAGGGACCATATGTACATTTTAACAGATTTCCCCACTTTGCAATCAGTAGCTCCAAAAGGTGACATATGCCACATAAACACAGTGGAATTCACTTTCACACGGTGGCAGCGCACACAAAGTTAGCATCCCAAAATTTCCATACATTGTTAAACAGACATATGGACTCTGTGGAATTCTTAACAAAACCAACCAAGCATAGTTTATACCTGTATGGATCATAATCTCTAACAGTTTTATTCACTAGTGCCCCATTTCCGTCATTCTTATAAAGTTACGTTTAATTTGCTCTTTAAAGGGATGTGAACACAACACTACATGATATCATGAATTCAGAGATCGCTTTCAATGGATTGAAATCTCCAATCATTACCAGTTGATATCTTTTTAAAGTTTGTTCAAAAGTTGCTCAAACAGTGATTTCATTGGCAATTACTTGCTGTCCTTCTGTTATAGACGAAAGTTACAATAGCAATTTGAAATAATGAACTAATTTAACTGGATGCTATACAGATGTATCTGATAAAATAGAATAAGTAATACAAACAAGCTTATTTCTATGTGATTTGGCAACATGTGGTTAGAAAGAGTCAATGAATTAAGAATTTGTTTTTATAAAGATTTGGCTGGGCACAATCAATGATTTTACATTGTTTTTAACAGTGCATTGTGCCATCTATGTTTGGAATAATGCACTACACATGCATGTCAAATTGAATTAATGTCAGATTTAAAGTCATGGGTGAAAATGATAATGTTAATTAGACTAACCTGTCAGATCGGACAATTAACACTTTTTATACTAAAAACTGTTTATTTTACAGCTTAGTTTTTCACATATCTGTCAAAAAGTGACATCATATTGATACTATGACCATATGGTGTTACTAGTACTTGTTTTTGGATATATGTCATATGGCCATTATTTATTCATCAATTTTGTTTGCATTTTCGCATGCATAATTCTATTATGCAATTCAATTCATGTTATTTAAATGGACTTCTTTTTACTCTGGAAAATATGATTTTTTGAACATATGTTGCTATGTGTGTCACTATGCCATGTGTCACCCTGAGGGCCTATTCTGCACACCAGTGGCCTATTCTGTGCACCCACATGGCACAATTCCCAGAGACACAAAACATGGTGTTTTGTTTTTTAAAGTACTTGACCTAATCTGAACTTGTGCCTCGAGCTAAATTATTAAAAATCTACCAGAATTCCCTACTTTTTATTTTCATTATTGGAAACCCTATATTTTGGTCAATATTTAAGATTTGATAAAATCAATTATTTTGTGGTCGCCAATATTTGTAGAGTGACTTAAAATGTTATTTTTCACTCGTATCTGTGTTTTGTGTGTTTTCATTAGTGTTTATCCAAATTTTGATTTTTCAGGAAATGTGTGTTTTTAGCCTTTCCTGGACAATCCTGGTCAATACTAATTGACATCTTTTGTCTCCAGGGTCCGTTTGGATTGAATTGTTCTTTTTAGAATTTATTTCCTGACAAAAGACAAATAATACTATGAAAGTAACTGTGTTTGGTCATTAAAAACATCCTGTATGTGGGCTGTTTGTCCATTAGGACTTAAGTTTTCAAAAGAACCACATTTTTTTCTAATTTTAATTACTTTTTGATTTCTATGTTTTCCCTATTGTAAAAAATACAATAGAGTTTGTTTAATTTGAAAACTGCCAATTAACCGGGATACATTTTTTCTTATTCTTAAGAAATCCATGGTTCTTGAAGAACAATGAAAGAAACTTGGAACAGTTATTATTCCGCAGAACAAAAGAAACTCAATTTTGGTAACTTTGGCCCAAATTGGACCTCCAAGTCAAAATTTTACGGAGTAGGGTTTTTATTGGGGCGCCGGACATCTCTGGCATTTTTACGATTAAAACTTTCTCGTATTTCTGAATTCATTTGAATATAACTATACCATTGGAATAATTCAATACATTTAAACAAATACCTTCAATTTGCAATATTGGATATGTTTCCATGGCTTTGATTTTATAACTTTTTTATTTCCATTTTATTTCAACTTTATTGCTGTTTTGGATCGCACACCAAAATTGACTAAAATTTGTGTCAAAAATATTCCTAAAGTTAGCATTAAACATACAATGCCTTGGCTATAGAAGTATTTATATAGAAATAAAATTACTGAACACTTAAATAATTATTTTTTATGATGATGGTTTTGAATTTGATGAATGTGACAGAAATAGAAATGTTGGGTTAAACTTGTATTATTAGAACCAACCACAGATTTTGTTAGACCACTCTGAAGTTTTAGATTTAGATATGATCTTTATTCATTCAGGTCCCCTTCCACAAGAATAGGTTATTGTGAGGGGGAGGGGGGGGGGCAGTGTACTTTTTCACATTTTCCAATCTTGAACTCCATGGCATTGCTCATTTTCCCCTCTAATTTTCCCCCTTGTTCAACAATTGCCCAAAAAATCCCCTTCAACAAGATTCCGGAATATGTTAGGGGAAGGGGCAGTCACTTTTCACCTCCAGTCTCTGACTTCATTGCTCATTTTTCCAAAATTCAAAAAATGCCCAAGCAGCTGGATTTGAAAAAACTGTTAACTGAACTTGAGATTTGAATTTTTTAATGAGAAAGTGTAAAATACATCTGCTAACTGTCACTATTTCCAAAAAGTGGATTTTAATTACCGAAAAGGCACAATAAAAAATAACATAGGTATTCATACGAGAATCACAATGTCTATGATACCATTTAAGGACTGTAGATATATAATGCTTTCTTTATTTTACCGTTGCACCTGGAGTTTATCAAGGAGCTTTTGTTTTTTAAATTTTTTAAGAATTTTATCAGTTTTCTATTGAGGTGCATCGGTATGTATCAAAACTGCTTTTTTGTAATTTGAAAATTTTGAAGTGATACCATTCATTAAAGATGGCTCCTGTGTTTATAACATACAACACATCATGGTTATTTTTTCCATTTCTCTCTAAATCTACACATAAAATTTGATTCGGTTACATTTCTGCACAATTTAGAATACAACCTACATGTATGTTCACACAATTTCTTGGTTTTTCCTCTCTAGATCACTTAATTTTGCATTTGAAAATAATACCACGTAATATTTTATTCCTAGGTTTCATGTTTTGTAATGCACCCCAGGGAGGTTGAGTCTTTTGTAAAGGCAAAACCAGCTGGTTCTTGTCATTTGATGGGCCTTAAATAAGCAATTCATTAGCCTAACAATTAATGTAAAAATATGCATCGATTAAAACTAAAAAACAAAAGATATAAAAAGTTAAAAAGTTTGTTGAAAAAGTAGTAAGTGGCGAAACACATTTACCCCATCATTTATGACACATTACATTTTGATAAATCATAAAATTGCATTAATTTTTGAATAATTTTTCTAAAGCATATTGTAATTAATAGATACTAATTACCATTAAAAAGAAATAAAGATCATATCAGATGATTTATAAAGCATACATTTTAATATAATTTGGGAGTTGAATTTTTTGTCTTGGACTTAATTTTCTTATAATATTTATAGCATTTTAAAAAACAGCATATTAAAATGTTACATTAATTGAAAGTATTTTTTTCTGTCATTCAAATGTACTGAAAGTCACTTGTAGTTTAATTTCAAATTATGTATTATTACATTTTTCTTAACTTTTATTTTACCATAACTTGTATTTTGGCTTTACTTATTTGTATTTCACCTGTTCTTTCTTGTCTTTTACTTGTATTTAAAACTAAACATATTTAATTTGTATTTTACCTGTAATTAACTTTTATTTTATATGTATTTCTAGGTGTGCGTTATAGAAGAAGCAATCAAACATATAGACAGTCTACACCGTGCCCTATCTGCCAAACTTAGAACTACAAATCCAGGTAACTATGACAACAATACACATCATTAACAAATACTTTGTTACTATGGCAACAATTTACTTCATGTTATCACATCATGAACACATGTTTTTGAAGACATGAACAAATGTTTGTAAGATAAGGCTGACTGCTACATATGTTTTAGAGCTGGTATATTGATACACATATCCAGATAAACCTGGATATCTGAACACCTCTCTAATATGAACACCTCAATGTGAACACCTTGTTGGTCCCATGTGCCAGGTTCACATGTTGAAAATCTTGAAATGCGGACCCCTGACAATATGAACACTTTAAGCTCATCCCATTGGTGCTCGGATAAAACAGATTTTACTGAACAGGAAATGTCTAAACTATAACTCAGTCAATCCTCATGGCCTCCCTAATCTTAACATGCCACCACTAGAACTAATTAACAGCCTCATTTGAGTATCTCCAAAAAATAACAATCTAAGGAGATACAGTTGTTGTGACACTTACTTGGAACAGTAATGCTTAATTCTGGGGAAGAGTTCAACATGCTATGGTGTCAGATCCAAGTACACTTGAACAGTAGTCACACAGTGAATCATGCAGTAAAAAGATTCAAGTACTCATTTTTGTAATTTCGTGAAATGCCTAAATTTTGTGGCTGAATTTTCATAGTTCTTTGTTTCCTGCCGAATTGAGGTGTCTGGGTCTCATTTACCATAATTGAAAGTCTGAGACTTGATTATTATTCGAAATGCCAAATAAATGTTAAGATGTCAAAAATAGATGCGTTTAGTTGGCAGATTGTCTCGTAAATGTCCCCACTTTCAACTCCGATCAAATTCACTTAATCTAGACTTCAAAATCAACTGAACTTCATCGTTTTACAAATTTTCAAGTATGTTCTTAGTTTAGTTTAAAGTTTATGAAAATTTTCCGTTTATTTTGGCTTCACGGTGAGTGCAAATGTATGTAAGGCTTATGACTTGATCGAGTGTCTGGTTTATTTAGGTTGTTTTCGTTGGCTGTGTTTTATGTACAAACTGTCATGTGCTAGACGGCTATGTGGATCAAAACGATTGAAATTGATCAGAGAATTTAAATAATTTAAAATTGACATCTTCACAAAAGCCGTCACTTGGGCCTGACAAGTGCCTTGCTAAGGTTTCACGAAGGCTGTGACCCCAAACAAAATTATAATAAAGTTATCCGAAAAATAATCATAGAACAATCAACCAAAACCAAATTGAAAATCAAGATCCTGCAGACATATTACTAGCATGTCTTCATTAACAAATATGTTTCATAGAAATGTCTTCATATCATTTTTAATCTTGCGTTAAGTCTCTTGACCCCTCCCTGTGGTCTACCTCACTCCCAGAGTGGGGAGGTGTGCAGTTGGGGGAGCAGGGAGTGGGGAGGAGACACAAGGGCTTGGATTCTAACTTGAACAATTATGCATATTCTTAGTTCCCACTCTGAGGAGGATCTTTAGAGTTCATTTTGGTTTCCACATCTGGGAAGTTTCCAAATTGTCAGAAATTAGGAGTAGGTTGATTGTTTGACACTTGACTGCCTTGTTTGTTCATTTATAGATAAGTGGGGAATCAATTTCTCTGGATAATCTCTATTAAGTGTAACCAATGTCTTGTATTTCCTTAGTTTCTATATCCCAGGTCAGACAGATGGTTTTTATTTACTTTGGAACAACTAACTGGAGTGATACCAAAACCAAAGTTTGAATACATCCTTCACATGAAATTCCAATGTAATGAAAATCAGGGTGCAAAATAAGCTCTGGTCAGGCCAGTGCATCCTTGGTCCAAGGGTATTTCACTTCTTTCCCATTTAAGCATAAATTAAGTCCTTTGAAGAAGGATGGGGCTAGTGGTCCTAACCAGTTGATCATTTGGTCTTGACCAGCTTATTGCTCACCCTAATGAAAATGTGTAATGTAATATAGAAAATAATTATGCAGATCATTCAATTCTAAATTGAACACCCAGTCATCAATACCATATAAGGACCCTTGAAGATTTCCAACCAAATGTTGGAGTAAATAATTGAACCATTTAATTCGTTATGAAAACTTTGAGGTACTTTGATGCCGAAAAAGCTCACATTTGATTCTGAAGAGCTCTATCATTTTCTTAAGTCTGTTTACGCTTTGTAAACTATCTTGTATTTATTCAAAATATTGAAAATATTTAAACCGAACCACAACCCAGGATGAATTTGGGAATCCACTTGAAGGGGGCTTGACATGTAAGTTTCACCCCTGGTTCTTTAAACAAGAATAAATAGACACCAAACTCCCTAAAACCATTTAGTCTCTACTAATTTATAAAATAAACATTTTCTTTAATTGAACCTTGTTGGCATAGACTTTTAGCAGGATATTAGACTGTATGATTTAGTGACAAATCTATTGAATAAATTTGTATATCAGATATTCCCTGCTATTGGATATGGTATTTATCTTAATGCGATCATTTTTGCATATTGCCAAATGTGATTTCTGTGTGTCACTTTGGCTATCTGTCTCTGT